CACCATTACTACAACCACGATCTCTCTTTACGTCTGTTATTATTTTTTTTTCTTATTTTTTACTTTTTTTTATATTTTACTTCTTGCTTGTCTCCTGTTATCGTACTCAAATTACTTCAACTCAATTTTTTTCAGGTGAAAAAGATCTCGAAAGCAGCAAGTTCCTACACTCTCTCTCTCTTTGCCTACATCGACCACTTCATCTCTCTGCCTATCTCTATCTTTATTCCTATTCAGATTCCGTTCTCATTTTTTCATTGGCTTTGCACGAGGAAACAAGTTAATTTAGTTTTACATTAAAAGTTATTCGAGTAATGTCCATATATGTGTGTCTGTCCATAATTGACTCCAACTCTAGCTTTTATCTTTTTTTTTCAAAAAAAAAATTTTTAGCCTTGGAATGAGTAGTTGAAACGAGATTTGAAAATGAAAAAAAAACGACATTTTTGGTCATTTTTCAAAAAAATAATTGATGAAAAAGTATTTTTCATTAACACAATGAATATTTTTCTGACAAAAAAAGAGAAGAAAAAAAATTGTTTATTTTCATGTGGTTTGTATCGTTTTCAAGCCAAATTATCGGTATTTATCTGTCTTTTCGCCCGTCAGTGGTACTGCTCGTACATACACACAGCTTTTCAGGCAGAAGAAAAAGGCAGTGTGAGAAATAAAAAATGCACACAACTAGAACATACAATAAGAGAGAGAAAGAGAGAGAGAGAGACAGAGAGAGAGTAAGATAGAGGGACTGGATGCATATATGAAGCACTAACGGGACATAGTGAAAAGCTTGCTCTCTATCTCCCCTTCGCTTCAATCCCCCCCCCCCCTCTTCTCCACCCTTCTCAGACAACAGCCTATGCGCGTATGAATAAAAAAATTAGCAAGTATAAAACTAGTTAATGAGTGTTATTCCTTTTTTGAAGCTTTTAAGCAAATGTCATTTTTGGATTGCTTTCAGTTTCTTCTTCTTTTCCACTTTTTTTCTTCTTTTGTCATCTCCTCTTCGCCTTCTTCCGTCGTTGTCTTGTGCCTTTTGAGTTAATACTTTTTCCGTTATTCATTTCAAGTTGTTATGGGTGGTAGAGAAAAAGACAAATTACCAGAAAATAATAAAAGGAGGCCCTGGGAAGTTTCAGTTACATAGGGGAGGATAGTAGAAGCGAGCGGAGAGTTGAAGAGAGAAGAGAAATCACCAGGTATGCGCACACCTAATTTGATCTCTTCATTGAGTAACAGTGTAATGTTGAACAAACAGCCCACTCTTTCTCTTTCTTTTTTTCTCTGTCATTCTCTAGCCCTCTCTACATCTCTCTTTCTCTCTCCACATCTATCTTACTCCAAAAAACAATTGAAAGATAGTCATCTATGGCAGCCAAAGGTTGAAACCGAGGTGAATTTCGTTTTGCTAAATATGAAGTGAATGGACTTTCATCAGAAAATTGCCAATTTGGCTCAGGAAAAACGGCAATTTCATATCAATTTCTAGCGAATGATTTCTATAAAGAAATTGAAATTTGTAAAACAATACTTCGTTTCGATATATAATAGTCTTAAACTGGGCTTTAATACAAAGATTAGCGGATATGATGAATAAAACTCATCTAAGCATCTGGTGAGCATAAAATAAGATGCAGTTGAGCTGAAAACAAGAAATCCTTTCATTATTTTATATCAAAAAACGAGGATACACCAGTTTCTAATTTCTGCTTCTTCTTCTTCTTCTTCGTTGTTCGTCGTCTCTCATCTACGACAACTAAAATTAATATTTTCATTTCGTTTTTGTCGCAGAAATTTGGATAAAAATGAAAGTTTTCTTCTTGTTTTTCTCACTACAAGAATTTCAAATTGTCCTTCCTTCTCCTCTTTTCCCGTTTATCTGCATGTTTATTTGTTCAAAAACTCGATTCCTTATGACTTCATATGCATAATTATTCCTTCACATCTTATCACTTATCATTCCATAAACCTCTAATTCGCTTTTTGAGACGAGATATTGATTTTGCGCTAAGTAAACTGTGTGTTTCATGTGTTCAACCATTGAGGGACCTGCCCCACCTCACAAACATTACGAGGTTAACCATCCGCTTTCATGACAGCGACAAGTGCGCTCTAATGCGAATTTTTCATAACGAGGTCGCATTTTCGAAAAAAAACAAATGTTTCTACCCTAGCGTCATGACGGTTGTTATCCGGCTGTGCTTTTTTCTCCAGATTTTACATTTCTCATTTTGTTCTCTTTCTAAACTGTCTGCAGTTGTTTTTTTCCGACTCGCCGTGCTCATTTTCTATTCGCTCTATGCGTACATTACGTACAAGAATTCCGGAAATATGTTCGTATGGCAATTGGCCTCCAGCCGTGCATCATCTCCTCGATTCTGTTCGATGGTTGCTGCTTTAGGCTACGTTTAGCTCGTTGGTCATTGCTACCACAACCATCTTCATCTCCATCAGCATCACACTCTTCCTCACATTCTCACATTATCTAAAATGAAGGGAAAGTATCGTTCCTTGGCTTCTTCTGTGACTTTTATTTACTTAGTGTCCGAGTAAAAATAGAATTTTGTCAAAGTTGCGCTGTTTTCTTCATTTTTTTTATTTCCCATCTCGTTTAAAATTCTCCCTGTGTTGGTAAAAAAAACGAGGCAGAGTGGATTGGCAGAGCGGCTGGCAGGCAGGCGCGCCTGTTCCGACGATCGATATGCTGGCTAACGGCACTCCTTTCGTCTTATTCTTGCTTCTTTTACTTTCCCTTCCAGTATTTTTGCTTCCGTACTATTGCTCAGTTCTTCTTCACCTGCTAATAATATGTGTAGTGCTCGGTATTTTATGTGTTAAATGAACCTGCACTAGGTTTTTTTTCTGCAAAATACTTATGGCGTTAGTTGCTTCTGTCCGACATTCTCTCTGTTTATTCTGCAGTCAATACTCATCTCGAAACAACTGCATGGAAACTGATATATAGATTGATAAATGGAGCTAGCTTCCTCTATATTTGGCCTTCGTCTTTTTGTTGAGTCTCCTAGACAAATTGGCCGAAGACTCTTATATGTCAAGAGCTGCGCTTACCTTTAATGCTGTCGACGAGTCAGTGAGATAATTAAGGCTCATGTTATTTGCTTGTACTAATCTTTGTCTGACTTTAGTTTATCTCTCTCACACTTCCCTTCTCTTCTGTTTCAACTGACCAAATAATCACCACTTAGTTACAAAAGCCTTTCAGTCTAATCATCTTTACAGGGTATTATTATTATTGGTTAGTCATTTTGCGGTATAATCCACCCTCTCAATGTTTGCATAAACCGTCTGTTAGCCGATTTTAAAGCCAAAAAATAGTCACCCCCTCGTAGTTATCATAATTCTGCATTTTTATGATCGTTTGCAGTCCAGAGTGAACTCGACCATGCTCGCCTATTACGCATCATACTTCTCCAATACCAACACTAACGCGCCACGCAATATGACCCAAGCATACCCATAACAATAGCAACATCAGCAGCAACATTACTCTTCTATGGCAATCTATTAATGGAGATAGCTAAAACTATATCAGTGCCGGATAGTTATCGACCAGTTTTCACATTTCTGCCTGGTCAATAACAATTTGGAAGGCACTCTTTGCTTACCACTCGATATTGTTTTCAGAGTTGGTTGTTCCATGTTCTCAATCCTGCACAGTTTCTGTTTATTTATTAATTTGTGGTACTATTAATTTTGTGTTTCGTAACACCTCTCTTGTTTTTGTTTCTCTCCTACTCTAATACTCTCCACGTTTCACTTTGATCGATTTTTGTGTTTACAAGATTTGTGAGTTATTAGTTCTCCACTGATTTTTCGCAGCTCCTATGAGTTGGAGCCTTTTTTTCTGTAAAATGTTTGCATTTCGAATTTAATAGGCCGTCTTTCGTTGATTCTAAGCTATCAATCAGCATTGTCTGTCATACTAAGATAGTTTGAAAGAGATAGTTCAAATACTTGCTAATTTCTTTGCTCATTCCTTCTTTTTTTTTACATGAATTACAAGAACTTATGAAAGTTATGTCTGGCGGAAGTGGGCACAACTTGTGTGTGTGTCTTTCTATGTGTTGTAAAGTATCCTTGTTGTCTATTTGATAGACATTTCTCTGTTGTCTATCTTTTGCTTCTCAAATCCTTCTCATTATCTTCAAAAAGTCAGAACCCGTCGCTAGGTGCCGTATGCGTGCTGAATATTTGCATGATTGGGTTTTGCCATATGTGGCATGTGAAAATGCTCACTCGTTAGTTTAGTGTGTGTCCGTGTGCCGCTTTTTAAAATCTATGAATCCTTGTTTTCAAGGTTCACACTCCCTCTCTTTCTCTCTGTTACCTACAACCAGCTGTTTTCAGTGATTTCACTACTTTTTTTCAAGTAAACAAAATTGATCTGCCCTCCCTCCCTAGCCCTCCGGCCACCAGAATCTTTTTCTCAATCGATACGTCCGGCCATGTTGAGAGTGTTTCATCTGCTTTAAATTGTCTATCTCTCTCTCTGTCTCTCTCTCTTTCTCTTTCTGCTCAACTCCTGCCAGTAATATTTATGAACTTTCTCCACGTCCCACAATAAAGTTTCCTGTGTTTTCTTCATTTGCAACTTTCTGTGAACTTCAGACAATTTCTTGTGCGCTTGTACATTATCCTGACAGCATGTTTGACGTTGAGCATATCCGTCTTTTATCTATTTGCCGGCGACGAAATTCGCACATTTTTTGACACAGTATCTATAAGATTTTTCGTTTCTTCGTTCTTTCTCTTGTTTTGTCGTTGTTGGAAAACCTCTTATTATGTTTTTCTTGCACTTCAGGTACAACCTACGGGGCATGAGAAGGACGGTGTTCGCTTAGTAACGGTTTAAATTGGTTATTAATTGTTCTGAGTGACATCTCGACAACCGAAGTAAGAAAGATCAGAGCTTTGTTGCTCGTTCATCAGGTTTGTCGGTATTTTTAGAATAGTCTTATTGATCTCAATGTTTCAGCAAAATGGCTGAATATGGAGCTACTCTTGAAGAGCTCAGAGCTCTTATGGAGTATAGGTACGAGTAACTCTCTCAACAAACCGCTCAACGTCTCCTTTATAGATCTACTGAAGCAAAAGAAAAGATTGATAATGATTATAATGGCATGGATGGGCTCTGTGAACGACTGAAAACTGACCCAAACAATGGAGTGCCTAACACCCAAACTGAGTTAGAACGACGGAGAGCAGTTTTTGGTGCGAACGAAATTCCCCCTCACCCTCCCAAGTGCTTCTTGCAATTGGTTTGGGAAGCCTTACAGGTGTGTTTTGATTGTTTCCGCCAGAAGTATTGGAAGTGCTAAAAGCCGATTGATGTGTTTATTTGGGCCTTTTTTGCCAAAAAAATATGTCTCTGTTGAAGAGGGAGCTCATGATGAGGTTGTAGTTATGTGTATGTGCGAGGGAGAGGATGAAAATGTCTGGGTCGGACAAGACGTCTCAAGGGAGCGTTTTGTCCGGCTTGGCGTTTGTAGAACTTGTAAAGTGGTGGAGCGAGAATAAGAATAAGAAGAAGAAGAAGAAAGAAGGATCTGCGTTTTTGATGTCTATAAAGCTAGCTATATAGTATTTTGTGAGATAGCATGTTTGAGGGTTTTGAGCAAAACACGTTGGACCTTTGAGTAATTAATTATACGAGCAAGTTGTTGGCCAGATGTCCTTCTGGTGCTCTAACAACGGCTGCTTTTGATAAAAATCTGATATTATTAATGGTAAAGATAATTTATTGTTACAGGATGTTACGCTCGTTATTCTGCTCGTATCAGCTATTGTTTCTCTCGCCTTGTCCTTTTACCGTCCACCAGATGATGGAACAACAGGTTTGTAATACTTTTGGCATTCACCTTTGGGGGCTTGACACACTACTGAATTCACGAATAGTTCGAAAAACAGAACTTCCTGGTAAACTTTATGAATTGTTCGGTTAGCTTTTTGTGGATTCTCTGTGCAGTGGGAAGGCTGCGGGAACATTTGTGGAGCAAAAATTGGTTATGAAGTCTCCAAATAGCCCAAGTCTGCTCTTCTCCTCCATTATGTCCATGTTTGGTTTGGAAGCGTCGGCTTCATTGAGAATGCACTCAGTATGCTTTGCTTTCCGGACTCTTACCTTCCAGGAGAATAATTTGGCAGTTTGTAGAGGAAAAATAGTAAAATATGCTTGAGATGACAGAAAGAAAGGGGCCTGAGGGGAGGGTGGTTCAAAAGAAAGATAACGAAATTTTAGTTTAAAATTGTCTTCTGAATGAAACATTGTTTTTGAAGTTTTAGCACAGAATGAGAGACGATGCAAGGCACAGAGTGAATGAGGAGTCATGAATCCTGATGACAAAAGAAGACGTTAAAGACCGTCGTTGTATGATTGGAAACATGTGCTAAATTACATTTGTATTTGCGATTTATTGCTCTTAGGGATACTTCTTGCTTCCTTTCATTCACAATCAAATTGACTATAAAGAGGGGGATTATAGTATTTCCTGCACTTCCTAAATTAGAAATTTTCAGCCGTAGACGACAGTGAACATGAGGCCGGATGGATCGAAGGAGTGGCTATTTTAATATCAGTTATTGTTGTTGTTTTAGTCACAGCTTTGAATGATTATACCAAAGAAAGGCAGTTCAGAGGTGAGGCTGTTCCGCTCGTTTGTCTTATCTTCATCCCATCTGCTTTTAGGTCTTCAAGCCAAGATCGAAACTGAACACAAGTTTTCCGTTATTCGTGGAGGCCAATCTATTCAGGTTGTTGTCAACGAACTAGTAGTTGGAGATGTTGCTCAAATCAAATATGGTTTGCTCATATTACTGTTCGTTTGTTTTACTCTCTTGCTTAGGTGATTTATTACCTGCTGATGGTGTTCTCATTCAATCTAACGACTTGAAAATCGATGAATCCTCTTTAACCGGAGAATCTGACCAAATCCGTAAGAGTCCTGAACATGATCCAATTATTCTTTCGGGAACTCACGTTATGGAAGGATCTGGAAAGGTATCGTTTATTAACATATCAATTTGAGCTTAACGGGTTATCTTCCAGATGCTTGTGACAGCTGTAGGAGTAAATTCACAAACTGGTATCATCATGACCCTTCTTGGAGCTGCGAAGAGTGTAGCTGAGGAAGAGAGAAAAGCTGCTAAGAGAGAAGGTTAATCATTTACCGGGCTTTATTAGAAATGTTTCGGGGGAGGGTTAACTACAACAAATCCTGAAGTCACCCATACACCAATTGAGTTTCACAGTAAGAAAGGTAGTCCAGAGTTTAAGGGACTGTATACCGTTCAACAGAAAGAAATAATTTTGCGAGTCCGCAAGCTTATCTTCGACTCCAGTTTGCTTTTTTACAAAAATTCCTCCCATTGAGTCCTTCTTCTTCAACCGCACTTTAGTTTTTACCATTTTCATATTATCTTTCTCATGCGATAGACTTCTGATGAAGACTTTTGTTCGTTTTCTTAATATAATCGGGGTTTGAGCTGAAATTGTTGATCAGATTTTCGCATGGGGAGCACTGCATGTGCATATTTATAGCTAAATATTATTTTTTATTGTACAATTTGATTCAGGATAATATAGGTTCTTTTCAAAAATGTATGAAAAGAAACCTATATTATGCTGAAGACATTTCGATGTTGATGACAAAACGTTTTTTGATTTTTATTTGCAAAAGTTTAGTGACTGTCGTGTCCTCAAAATTTATATCGCTCTGGCTTGATCATCTACCTCTTTCTTTCTTGTGAAGTTTCTCTAATGTGTTGTTGTGGTGACCATATAATGATCTTGTCGTTTCTGAGCAATTCTTCGAATGAATGTGTTTGAGAAACTAAGAAACGGCCGGATGAAACCTGGGAGCATTTACACTCCACGTAGTTAGTTTTTTCAGGCGATGCTGTTCAACAAATCGAAGACGGAACTGGACAAGCTCTATTGGGTGAGTATGATTTTCCTATTTGAGAGAAACATTTTAAACGTTTTTGCACCTTCCATTGGCTTTGTGTTTTCACATCGTTCAGCACTTGCGTATCACCTTTTTCTATTGTTATGCAATCATTACACAAGAAGATTGGAGTCGGTTTAGTGTTGAACTTATTAGGACGTTGTTGTTCCTCTATATCCATCCATATTACCCTCTAGCTTTCTCCTTTTCAAGTATGTCGGAACTGATATTCGGCAATTACGTTGGGTCAGTCGGCAGATTGTAAAATCTCCTTGAGTTTAAAGAGAGAATGAAAAAGACATGAGAACAATGAGAAAGGTGGAGAAGACTATAGATAAACAGATATAGAGAGAATGAGAGCGATATGTAAAATTGAGTCTTGTCTCGAGTTGTCTTTCCTCTTCGATCACATCCGATTAAGCTTAGAAAATGAAATCGCGTCAGAGAGTTTCTTCTTTCTCCTCTCTGAGACCATTCTTTAAATTGAGTGGAAAATGCGGATTTAATTTGGAAAATTTACTTTTGGCTGCCCGAAAATATGATGATCATTTTTTATTTATTGGCTGCAGCTTCGATCATTCATAAGTTGCTTTTTCATGAAACTTCTCTTTTCAGATGCCAAAGCTGATGGGGAACTTGCTAATGGCAAAGTACCTGTTGAAGAAAATGGAAAGAAGGAAAGATCTGTTCTTCAAGCTAAACTGACAAGACTAGCTATCCAAATCGGTTATGCTGGTTCTTTCGTAGCAGGATGCACAGTTTTGATCCTTGTTATTCGATTCTGTATTTCCACATACGCCATTGCTGAACAACCTTTCTCTTTAGCCGACTTCCAGGTATTTTTCAGTAGTATGAACCAAACTTACTGAAAACTTTCAGAACTTCATTAACTTCCTTATCATCGGAGTTACTGTATTAGTAGTAGCTGTACCTGAAGGATTACCACTCGCCGTTACTCTCTCCTTGGCTTACTCTGTCAAGAAAATGATGTTGGATAACAACTTAGTTAGACACTTGGATGCCTGTGAAACTATGGGTAATGCCACTGCCATCTGCTCTGATAAGACTGGAACCTTGACCACCAACAGAATGACTGTAGTTCAATCATTCCTTAATGGTAACCGCTTGTGATACTTTTTTCTGATCATACCTTATTTTCAGACACTCATTACAAAGTTACTCCTAAGCAAGAAGAACTCGACCAAAACACTTTGGACCTTTTGATTAACTGCATTTCCATCAACAGCAGTTATTCATCCCAAGTAATACCTGCCAAGCTGGTTGGAGAACAAGCAACTCAACTCGGAAACAAGACTGAGTGTGGTCTTCTTGGATTTGTTCTTGCTCTTGGCCACAGCTACCAAGAAGTCCGTGACAAATACCCCGAAAAGAATATTCCAAAAGTTTACACCTTCAACTCTGTTCGTAAGAGTATGTCTACCGTGATCCATCGTCCTGAAGGAGGTTACCGTGTATTCAGTAAGGGAGCTTCTGAAATTATTACCAAAAGGTAAACTTGTTAATATTGACTATTTTTAACATTCTATGGTTTAGATGCAAATATTTCCTTGGAAAGGATGGCAAGCTCCAATCTTTCACCGCTTCTGATGCTGATAAACTCGTCAAGAGAGTCATCGAGCCAATGGCTTCAGATGGTCTCCGTACTATCTGCCTCGCTTACAAGGATTACGTACCAGCCGGACAAAAGACCGATGAAAATCAGATTTCCTATAGCTCCGAACCTGATTGGGAGAATGAAGAGTTGATTGTTGGGGATATGACTGCTATCACTATTGTTGGAATTCAAGACCCTGTCAGACCAGGTTAGTATAGTGTTAAATTTTCTGTGGTTAAATACGAGTGTTTTCAGAGGTACCAGCTGCCATCACTCAATGCCAAGAAGCTGGAATCACTGTACGTATGGTTACTGGAGATAACATCAACACTGCTCGTTCGATCGCTACTGCCTGTGGAATCCTTAGACCTGGAGAAGATTTCATCGCTCTTGAAGGAAAAGAATTCAACGCAAGAATCCGTGATGAGAACGGAGAAGTCTCACAAGAGAAATTGGATCAAATTTGGCCCAAACTTCGTGTGCTTGCTCGTGCTCAACCTTCCGATAAATACGTTTTAGTCAAGGTAAGAGTTTATCAGTTTGGAGTTATGTATAATTTTATTATCATAGGGTATCATTGATTCTCGTGTTACTGACTCTCGAGAGGTAGTAGCCGTAACCGGAGACGGAACTAACGACGGTCCTGCTCTTAAAAAAGCTGATGTCGGTTTCGCTATGGGTATTGCTGGTACTGATGTCGCCAAGGAGGCTTCCGATATTATTCTAACTGATGACAACTTCACCTCTATTGTTAAGGTAATTCAACAATTTTTTACCATTCTTAAGATATTGTTTCTAGGCCGTTATGTGGGGACGTAATGTTTACGATTCCATCGCTAAGTTCCTTCAATTCCAATTGACTGTCAACGTTGTTGCCGTTATTGTAGCTTTTGTCGGAGCTTGTGCTATTCAAGACACCCCACTCAAGGTGAGTATTGTGTTTTGGTATATTTGAGTTGGCAAAATAACTTACTCCGTGAGAAAAATCTCATTTCATATTTCATTTTCGTACAAAGCGGCTGTCTTTGCCATTTCCAATTTTCCATGTTCAATATACCTTTAAATTTATAGGCCGTGCAAATGTTATGGGTCAATTTGATTATGGACACTCTAGCTTCCCTTGCTCTTGCTACTGAATTACCTACCGCAGAGCTTCTTAAGAGGTAAATAGTTTTTTCTGTGTTTTTTCTCATGCAAAACTTTATAGAAAGCCTTATGGACGTACCAGTCCTCTGATTTCTCGCACAATGATGAAGAACATCTTAGGACATGCTTTATACCAACTTCTCGTTCTGTTCATTCTTATCTTCTCTGGTTAGTGAAATTTGAAAAGTTAAACATTGAAACTTTGTGTTTAGGAGATAGAATTTTCAATATTCCATCTGGTCGAGGTGCTGATCTTCACTCACCTCCATCTGTTCACTTCACTATCGTATTCAATACTTTTGTTTTGATGACATTATTTAACGAAATTAATGCTAGAAAGATTCATGGAGAGCGTAACGTTTTTGCTGTAAGTTATTCGAAAACATATTCCCTAATTGTTGTTGCATAGGGACTCTTCTCTAATCCCATTTTCTACGTCATCTGGATCTGCACTTTCATCTCCCAGATAGTTATCATTCAATTTGGTGGGCGTTGGTTCAGCACTGCACCATTAGATACCACCCAGTGGCTTTGGTGCATGGCTCTTGGTGTTGGAACCCTTCTCTGGGGACAGGTTTTCTATTAATGTTGTTTTGTTGCTGAAAATAGAATTTTCAGATTGTCACTAGTATTCCAACTGGAAGTCTTCCCGCGAATCTGACTATCGGTTCTGGTGAAGCTCCAACTAGCGATCCACTCATGCCAGATTACGAAGATCCTGAGACTCATGAGAAGCGTTCCGGACAAATCTTATGGGTTCGAGGACTGACCCGTCTTCAGACACAGGTATGTTTATTTTAATTATATATATTGGAGAAAAGTCCGTGTTGATTGACCATCATCATTCACGGATCGCATGTCTCATGATCACCACTCTACTAACCTGAAGAACATGCTTAATATCAGTAGTTCTGAAGAGTGGGATATGAGAAGGGAAAAAATCGTCTCTGCTTTTCCATTTAATGACGAATGTTTATTTTCGGTTCTGCTTAGTTAATAATGCAGGAATGTTCATACGTTTTTAAACTTTAATTTAGCTAAGTTACGGCTTTAATGTCAGTACGCTCTAGAGTGAGAAAAGCGGAGAAACCGCATTCAGTATTATCTTAGAAACTCAGATTCTTAGAGATCTGCGTGTCTGTTGTGTGGCAAGATTTTAAAAAATTGTCTCAATCTATACTCGTTTGGCCCTCCCTGTAATAATAGAGCGTTCTCTTTAATGCGAAAAAAATGCGAAAAACTTGGATGAATGTTGCAGTAGGGAAGAATTTATGGAAATCACGCTTACCCTTCTGTCTTTTCTCGTATCTGTGAACCCTACATATTTCGAGAGTACATTTTCTTTCATGTTTAGTCTTGCAGAAAGTGTTATATTTGTATGTCTTCGTTTAGAATTTTTCTAAATTGTTTTATGGCACGTTGCGGAAATTACGTGTTCATGTATAGTCACTGGATGCCTTTCTGAAATCGAGTGTTTGAATGTCTGTTTTATGTCTTGTGATCAGGGATGAGAAGTTATTCTTCAACCTGCTTCCTTCTCGGCAGCAAAGTTCGTACACAGGATTTCGTGCACCACGTGTAGTTTTGGGGTTGCTGTTTTCGTGTATGAATATGAAGTATAACTTGAACATCTTTGGTCCTAACTTCGTTTAGGACGACTGATGTACTTGTTTCGTTGATGTTTTTACTCGAAAATCAGATGTAGTGTTGTTTCAGTTGTGCTTACGTTTAGTATTACACAGAATTTCGATGAGTGCTTGGAAGGAAGTCATTTTTTATCTTTGTCTCTCTATCTCGGTATTCAAGTTTGTATTTGAAGTTGCCGGGGTGGCATTTCGGAACTGTCCTTTCTCATCTACCTCAATGGAAGTACCCGTGTGTATGTAACGACACCTTAATCAACCTGCTAAAATTCAGTTTTTTGTCATTTCAAGCATCCCGCCTTGTAGCCTGCTTCAACTGCGAACCTTACACTTTGCTTTTACCTTTTCAGCCTTGTCATGCGACAGCAACTTGGTTAAGGTCTTTACAATTTTTATTTATTTTGTTTTGACTTTGGTTGCTTTTGCATGTTTTAAAACCGTTCCCGAATGCGTTACCTCACCAACTTCACCAGTCACGTTATGTTTTATTTCTTACCCTGCTATATTTTATGCCAGGTTTTACCCTTATTTTACATTTTCTGTTCATTCATCCGCGGTCGCTAGAAGGAATGTTTCGACTGAGCACGCTGTTCCTTGAAGACTTACGAATTTACGCTTTTTGCAATTGTTAACCTCCAACTAACATTAGTACCGCGCTCATAATGAGTTTTCGACGCTTCCAACTTTCGCTATTTAAGTTGTAGACCTAAGTTCGCTCACCTGGCTTTGATCTTTTCATAGAAACGGGTATAGGACAATTTTTCCTCCACAACAACTGGTGTTGGTAATTAGCTTGATTGCATCCACTAACAATCTGGAACCTATTAACCATACCGAAGTTCCTGGACAGTTGCCACCCCAGAACACGATTTATCTCGAATTTGTTCGTTCACACCGATAATGCTGCTTTAAGACGGTTGAACGATTTTTTCTCTTGTCATGCGTTTATTTTTTGGACTAAAAATGTTTCTTAAGTAGTACGACTTCCTAACTTGTCTCCTTTAGCTTCGAGTTGTGAAGGCTTTCCGTTCTTCACTCGAAGAGTTTGATGAACGCCGTTCCATTGCTTCCACACACTCAGTCCAGTCGATGAGGGGATGGTCTCGACTTGCCTCAAGTCCGGACCCATCTGGAACTCGAGCAGCTTTGGCAGCTATATCACAACGTCATTCACCTCAGCCTTATCCTTATTATCATCATCAACAACCAAGAACTCCTTCACCTCAACCTCAGATTTTAGTTGAAAACGGAAATTCATCGACCAAAGTTGAGAAAGTACCGATCGTTCAAAAATGGTCACCCGACACCAATTCAAGTTATTCTCAACGAATTGGCAAAAGCATGTCATTAGATACTCCAGTGTCCGTGGCTCATGTGTAGTCTTTTCCTATCTGTGGTACTCATTTTATAGCCAACATAGTGAGAGAGAGAGAGTTAGCAGATATATTTCCATATACATCAGATGTTTATTCGCTGATAAGTTTTTCAGTAATTATAGTTTAAAGGGGGATTTCTATCTGTAAGAGAATTTGTATTTGAAATCCATTCATTGCCTTTTTTGTTTCTGAAGTCCCGGTTGTCTGGATATAAAAGGTTTAGGCAAACGGCTTTTTATAGCTTAACAGAAATTTCTCATCGTTTGTCGCGAACCAACATAGCGTGTTTTTGATCGGTGTGTAGTGCATAGCTCAACCAATTTAATCTATTAGATTAAAGATAAGATGTACAGAGAAACAGATCTATTTATATTTTGTTCAATCAATCAACCCTCAGCACTCTTTAGTATCGGTTTTTGTTCCTTCAATTCACACAGTTCTCTTTCTCAAAGGAGGGATTCAGTTTGCTCCTCGAAAACTGCCAAATTTTCCCCTATTTTTGTTTAGTAAATTGAGGCGGATACACTCTTTCCTCTTATGTTTTGGCCTTTCTATTATGAAGAGGATTGTTATTTCACACGCGCGTTTTTATCCCTTTTTAGGGGGAAATCTAGCTTACATTATGTTAGCACTTTATTTAATTATTTAATTACATGACAATGTACTATGACTTTCAAAATCTTATTGTTTGTTTACGTAGTGTTCGTATTGGTTATTGCGTGAGGTAATATTTTCTATTTTTGTAATCTGTTACCAATAAATGGTATTATAACAATATTATATTATATTTGATCACCTTTTCTGGACTGTTGTTTTGATGTCTCGTCGTTGTTCACTTTTCTCTTCACTTCCTTCCAAGCACCTATCTTGCCCCGTCGTGTTCGTTCGTTTGAGTCCGACTAAACTTTGTTGTTCCTACTTTATGATATTTTATACATATTCGGCCCTGAGTGTTTGTTGCTATCCATTTCTTGGGCATTGAGGCAATACTATAGTCTTCTGAGTTAAAGCTATCGGGCAAAATAGAAATACTGCGGTACACATAAGGGTTATCGTTTAATTTTTCATTTGATGGTCACGAATGATTTGTAATTTTTCGTTTATGCGGTCCTGGTTGGTTACAGGTGATTGGCGGAGAACGATCTGATCATCTGATTCCTGTGCCACTGAGCAGCGCGCCCACTGACCAGGCTGTAAGCGAACTTCACTGAGAACTCGAGTTGGCTTCTTTTCATACCCTCAAAAATGTCTTTCGCCATGAGAAGAGGAGCCAACTTCTGTTTTTGGGACTGTGTGTGTGCGTGTGTTGTGCTTTGTGATTGACATATCTTCTCTATCGTTGTTGTTGGGCTTTCTTGCTTTAGCATGCTTCTGTAATGTCATGGAGTTGTCTAGAACTCTGAGACTATTTTCTTGGTACTATCGAGCATATAAGTGTGAGCATTCTGCTGGCTATCTTCCTCTACTTCTACACCTTTCCTAACACGTCGTGGTTCATCTTTCTGTTGTGAACATTAATGTAGCTATGGATGGATTTAAAACCAAAAAAAAGCAGTCGAGGAAACCTCATGTGGATTGTTCCTCTTTTAATTTTTTATGGATGACAACTAACTTGTAACTGAATGGAATTGTTATAACTCATGTACGAGGCTTAAATCATCAGAAGATTTGACTGATTCCTAATTCTCGAGAATCGAGATCACCCCTAAACGCTTAGTAGAAGACACAAAAGTGTCTTGAATCATGTTTACGTTTTTCTTGGTTCTAGGTGGTGTTGTCATATGAATCTCTTGTGATCGTAGAACAGTCATATTTCAAATGATTTTTTCGTAATAAGTTTGAATGTTAGCAATTCTGTTCTGCAGATTTGTTCCCTAACATGAAATCTGCTGCTTTGTGGTGTATTACTAGTCAAATTTGCCTTGTGTTCGCCGTTGTTCGAACCTAATCTTTTGCAGATTCGTGTTGTGAAAGCTTTCCAAGCAGGTCTTGATAGACGAGAGCCCAGCTTAACTGGACAGTCTGCGGCTCGTCTCCGTGAAATTAGTCGTCAACTACGACTTCAAGTAGAAGCTGAAGGACGAGGTAGGCAGTTTTTGAAGATAATAATGCTCACGGCCCCCCTCTTGCAGCTCGCTCGTTATCGCGTGGAAACATCAAGGATGGCAAGTAGATGCCCATAATTCCGAAGAACGAGTTATGTATTTTGGACGATTTTCATAGTAGAAGATGTTTTTTGAAAGAAAATTCCTGTGAGGAATGTCTAGTTTACTTATATAAGACCCTTTTATGACAAGTTGTGGCTACATATTATGCTAATTAACCCGCTGTTGAACTTTTTTCATCTCCTGCCATGAGCCGTGTCTTAACTGTTAAGCTTCATCTTCACGTATCGCCTTTAATGCTCTTAATTTTCCTCTTTTTCACCTTTGTGCATCAGTATGTTGACACTTACAATCATGTGTCTTTCTGATAGCTTTAAGATCATTTATTATTTCCTTCTGAAGACGATTACTAGTATTTTATGAAATTCTGCGCATTTCATTTGACACAAAATTATTCCTCCTATATATCTAATAATATGATGCTTCTAACGCCTTCTGCTTTTCATTTCGCTTTTAGCTAGTTTTGGCTGGTTTAGTATTCACTGGTAGATATTATACTTTTATTTTACATAAAAGAACGTATAGCTTCTTCATAAGGTTCTAGAAGACATCAAATACTCACATCCTCGTGACTAATCCAACCCCAATCCCCTCCTCCCCTCTCCCATACTATATCCACTATCCTGGCGAACCATATTGTAGATGTTTCAAATTAAAGCTCGTTTCAAGCTTTCGAATATTCAGATTTTATTCTCTCAAGCATAATTAGATATAAATTTCCAAAGTTTATGGTAAAGCTTCATTTCTTCCACTTGCGGAAGGTATGCTTCTGAAAACATCTCAGCTTTTGATTATCTTTTGAGTAGGAAAGATACTTCATTAATCTGACCATTAGGCTCCATGTATCGTTTTATGGTTTTCCTTGGTCCGGATCGACTACACTATTGATTGTAATGTTTTTTTGTCTTTAGAATTGTTATAACTTCTACAACAGTATTACCGTGCTTTGTTTCTGCCTAATGGTCTTTGAGTAAATATTTGAATATTTTTACAAACAGTTTTACACTTTGAATTTTGTTTAATATGCTTCCAATAACAATCGAACCGGTAATTCCTGTCTATCTCACGTGACATTAAACAGTACACGTGAAATTTTGTGCGTGAACATGATTGAATCTCATTTTGAGGTAGAATGGTCGTTGAGCGGTTGTTTGTACGTACCTGAAGTTGAGGGTATAACAGATTACAGTTCCTATACCAAAGGACAACACAGTAGAATGTACGTGAAGGAACACGTGTAAGAGGGCACACGCTATAAGCTTTGACGGAAGAAAACAACTTTCGAGCGATTTTGGACATAAAATGATATAAAACAAACATGATCTTGAAAATCATTCGTTTCACGATCA